AGTTTGTAGTCCAGCACATTAACCCACAGCACCACACCAGGATGCCACAGTTTATATGTATGAATATATAAGTATATATGTAAGTATAGCTGAAATACTGTAAAAATGCACATTTATTAAAATTTCTTCTAGGATTAATTGACCGTATAATACACTTTAATTATATTCTGTATATTTATAAGCCATACTATAATTTATTCTTTCATCAATTCTGATAGTTAACAATAGAGACAGAAGTCTTTCCTTTGTTGTGGTGGTGTTTATGTGCTGTGGAGCTGGTTACAACTCATAGCAACCTTGTGTAGGGTTTCTGAGGCTGTAAATCTTTTCAAGAGCACAAAGCATCATCTTTATCCCTAAGAACAGCTGGTAGTTTCACACAGGTGACCTTGAAGTTCGTAGCCTGGCTTGCAACCACTGAGCTCCCAGAACTCCCTGTTTTGCAACTTCCTCATACAATTGTGTTTTACATACATTTTTTCTTTACATTAGAAGACTATAGTTTGAAATAATGACTTTTGATTTTTCATATTGTTGTTAGAAATTACATTACACAGGCAAGTCATTTGCATGGAATTTAACCATATTCTAAGTAAATTTTCACTGATTTTAACCAAAATTTAATATATTAGGCTTGTATTTCATGTGAATATTCACTTGAAAACTTTTCATCTTTTTAATTCATTGTTTTCCCATTGCTGATCCATTTAGTTAACCACTGTTTCTATATGCAGAGAAGCTAGGTTACTCCATAGTGATTTGATATATTTAAAACTACTTGATATAAATTGGAATTATAATGTTACTCTTTGCCATTTTACTTCCATTCACTTCAAACACAAACAATAATAGTTCAAATATAATAATTTTTTTTGTTTCTCTTAAGTGTCCTTGATTCAGTTCTGACTCATATTGACCCTATATAGGGTTTCCAAAGTTGTAAATATTTTGAGAGCAGCAGATAATCTTGAACTGTTGCCCTTGAGTTTCATAGTCCAGCGCTTATCCTACTGAGCCACTGCATGCCCATAAGACATGGTCGTAGTATTGTTTGTGTGACATGAAGTCAGTGATGACTCATAGGGACCCTGTTTAGGAGTTTTTATGGCTGTACATCTTACAATAGAGAAAAGATTGAAGTTGTCAAGGTCTTCATTCTTCTTGGATCAACTATCAACACTCGCGGAAGCAGCAGTCAAGATATCAGACGACGGATTGCATTGGGCAAATCGGCTGCACAGGAACTTTTTAAAGTATTGAAGAGCAGAGATGTCAGCTTGAGGACTTGCCAAGGACCGGCCTCAACACAGATGTTTGGTTCACGAGGTGGGAATATCTGGCAGCGATAGGGATAGCAAAAGAGGAGACACAGAGACACAACGAGAGAGACAAAAAGACACCCCAAAACCAGAGTGGATGCATTACTGACATCCCACAGATCCGGCGTGGTGAACATCTGCGCTATAAGGGCAGTAAGATCCCGCATAGTAAACATCTTAGCTATGCGGGCAGTACGCACCCCTTACTAGCTGGTCAGCAATGCATGCCTAGTCAGCCGTATAACATGCTCTCCAAGCTGTAATGCACACTGGATTCGTCCTGCACCTCTGTTTTATTTAAGGGAGTTACTTTACACCAAGCTGGGAGGGACTATGACAAGGTACAGCTAACATATGTATTTTTCCAAGACATTTAGGCAGCTTTACATCGTACTTCGCAGGTTCTAATCTCATGACCGCAACTTGGTTTCTCAAGCTTAATTAACATACCTTTTAGCACTTAGCCTTAAATGGGGGAAGGAAAAGGAGGATTGGGAGGAGTACCATTGTGTCAGCTGCCCAGCTCAGGTTCTTCAGGAAAAGAGACGCCTGGGTGAATAGGGCTGCACCTGGAAACATTTTAGGGAGGGTGTCCTTTTG